GATCGGGAGCTGCTGATAGCTCACAAAAACTGCCCCTCTGGACATTAGCTAGGCTGTCCTCAACCCTCACAGCCCTTTTCTTGGGCTGTACATTGCAAGGGTCTTCACAAAGTGTCTGACTGTGTGATAGGAGGTTGGAACTGGGTGATATTTAAGGTCCCTTCCAACCCAAACCATTCTATGATTCTATGATTCTATAAGGCTGCTTGGCCAGGCTGGGGCAGGGGACAGTGACAGAAGGAGACGAGCGTTTTGCGGTGGCGTTGGGCGAGCTGGCAGCAGCTGTGGGGCCAGGGGTGGAGGCAGCCTTCCCAGGCGGCCCCATGCCGAAGGGTGACTGCGCGGCACTCGCATCCTGCATCCTGCCGGGCTGGGCCTTGCAGGCAGCTCGTGCAGAAATGCAAACCACACCGCTAGCTCGCAGGGCTGGCATGCTGGGGGGTGGCGGGGGAGGCAAGCACCCAGGCCCCTTTGCACCTGCATCCTGCCCCCCAACCCCAACTCTCCCAGCACAGTGCCCAGCAGCATGAGCCAGGGCAGGGAGCGCACCCCGGCAGCACCCAGCCTCTGGGCACCCACCTGGACAGAGAGCAGTCCCTCCTCATCGGGGAGGATGCGGTAGGTGTGAACATGCCGCTGAAACCTGGGAGAGAGCAGATGAGGGTCCCCCATCGCACCACCCTCCTCCCCCTGCAATACTGGGGGCACATGGCAGCGCAGGGGGCACCTGGCACCCAGCCCTGCTGCAAACGCCCCCACCCCATCTGCAGAGAGAGGAACTGAGTTCTCATTTCTGGAAAGAAAAGCATCACCCTCCACTTTGCATCTGCACCCGTTTGCAGGGGAAGATGTGCAGCATCCCAACAGCACCCTGCCTCGGTGGGCACGGCCACGGCACAGCCACGGTACCTACGGCCCAGTGGCTTCACATGGCAGCAAGGGAGCCCCTGGGACTACAACAGCACGGTTGTACATGCCCTGAGGCCACCGCAGCACCCCCTGCCCCGTGCCCCCGTCCCATCTGGCCGGACCTCCGACTGGGATGCTGGCAGAGCTGGGTCGGCTGCCGGTTGAACCCCCAACGTGCCCTGCACCCCCCCACACGCCCCTCAGCACCATGTGTTTGCAATTTGTCCCACGCACTGGGCCAGGCCAGCCGTCGGAAAGGGGGTGGCATCCAGCCAAAGCCGCCGAGGCACCGCCCCACACGCTCCCCACTGCAGACGTGTCGCTGGGCTGCAGGAAGGGTGCAGGCAGCACGGAAGGGTGCAGGCAACCCCCACAGCAGTGTTCTCTGGGGCTGTAAGCATGGTCCCAGGAGTGGGGATGGCGAGGGGCCCCATGGGCAGCTGGGGATGCAGCCCTGAAAGTGCCGGCATCTGAGATGTTAACAGCGGGTGTCATGGTCCGGATGCGGCCGCATTGGGGGGTGGAGGGGAAGGGGACGGTTGGTTTTACAGGAG